ATTATAATATCATATTATATGATAAAATAATAATATTAGAGTTATTAATATAATTATGATATTATTTGTTACAATATTACTATTACATTATATTAAATTATATTATATTATTGTATTATTATATTATATTATGAGTTTAAATTTAGATTGAGAAGATTGTAAATTTTAAATTTCATTAGGGGTATTATGAAAGTTTCATTAATTGTACTATGTTGATTATCGCACAATCTAAAAGCTAAAGTTGTTTTGGGGTTGCTTCTGATTTTGACTGTAGATTCTTCAAAAAACACTTTTGAGGAGATTTATAAAAAATATTAAAATCAGCTTTTGCTACAAGTAGAAGTTGATTTTGGAAGCGAAAAGCAATATCAAACGCAGCTTTAAACTATTTTTAATCATCTTAGAGGGAGTGTTAATAGATATAAGAGTAATTAAGTTTAGTTAAATTGGTCTCACATTGAGGTGTGAGTAATTTTTCCTATTTATAATAACAATATTTCAAACATGGCCAAATGAAGCAAACGTGGTATGATTATAATTGATGATCGTTACGTCAAATTATATGAATTAAACAAAGGTAAGGTTTAAGTTTGAAGGGAGGCACGACTTTAATCCCGTGTTCGGTTTAAAAAAAAAGAAGAAAAGCAACCATGACCAAAGAGAAATAAAATATATTTTCATTTTTTATTTTTACTTTTCAAAAACTGAAAAATAGGCATAAGAAGCAAGATAAAATTAGATTTCTTTTGTTTAAAAAAAAAAAAACCCAAATGAGAATTAAGGAAGTCAAAGTCAATAGGTAGAAAGGTCTACTAATAATACAGAAGAAAATGAAACATGAAAGAAAGGAAAAAAAGAAAAAAAAAAGTAAGTGAATAGTGTTGGAATTTTGGGCCAACAGGCCGGCCCGAGGCCAGAATTTTTCAGGCTCGATGGGCAGGCCCATTTGCCGGCTTGGGCAGCCCGAAAATGATCAAGTCACCAGAGTCTGTTGCCGTGTTATCTCCGTCCGCCGAAATTTTTCCAGTCAGGGCCAACTGAAGCCCGAAACCCGACCAACAGATAAATTTTTTACCGTTGGAGCCTGACCTGACCCGAAGCTCAAAAAGCCCGACCCCAACAGCTAGTTTTTTGACCATTGCCCTGAACCTGACCTGGCGAAAACAAAACTAGCCATTGGATCCGAATTTGGGAAAAAAAATTAATTTTTTAACCTAAAAATTTCCCTATAAATACCCCATCCCCCACACATTTTCCTCACTCAAACTCTCTCAATCCCTCTCAATCTCTCTCAATTTCTCTCAATCTCTCTCAATCTCTCTCAATCTCTCTTACAATTTTTCTAAAAACTATCACATTATCCTAAAGCTCTCTCTCTCAAATGGCTCTCATTTTTTTATAGTGGATTCTTTTAGTTATAGTGGTATTCATGTTGATGCCCAACACAACGTGGAAGAAGGGCAATTTCCCACTAATGAATTTGTTACGGAGGAATCTACTAATCTGAGCCCTGGTGGATGTACTGGAGGTCGTGGTCGCAATGGTGGTGGGTGTGGAGAAGCGGCGAGTGCAAGTGCGACTGCGTCTACAAGTGTTACAACCTCCAGGAGGAAATGCAAGCGCACTTTGACAGTTTGAGATCACTTCGACACAATTGAGGAGATCGACAATGAAGGTAACACTAAACATATAGCTTAGTGTAAATATTGTTTATCTAAATTACAAGGTGACACTATTAACAGCACCACACACTTGAGAAGATACTCCGAAAAGTGTCTTTAAAAGCTTAGCCAGTCCGGCAGACTCAAACTTCGCCAAACGCAATTATCTTTTGATCGCGCAACCGGTGGTCTAACCACTTGAAAATATGATCCGCAAGTAGATCGTATAGAAGTTGCGCGAATGATAGCTGCATTAGATCAACCACTTAGTTTTGTATAGCATCCTAATTAGCAACAATATATTAAAATTGTACATAATCATAATGTACAATTCACTTCAAAAACTACTCTTAGGAAAGATTCATTAAAATTATTTAAAAAAGAAAAAGAAGCATTATAAACCTTTTACACTAGACTAGCGGGTGCATTGCGTTAACGGTATATATTTGGTCCGCCATTGTCAATAAAGATTATTTAGCTGTAATCAGACATTACTTTAAAAGATTTGATTTAGATAAGAGAATATTAAGTTTTAAATGTGTTTTAGGATTATTGTTTCGTCAATTATCGTAATAGAAAATCAACTCGTATCAATCAATCGAATTTGTTGAATAAGTAGTATGAATGATAAGTAGTATTAACCATACAAATTAGAATATTCATAAATTCGACTTAGTGTGTATTATATATAATGTATGATCATGTTTGCGAAAATATAAGAAATTAAAGTATCTTGGTTCTCTCCCATGAGTTGATCCGGAAGTAGATTAATTATAAAAATTCTATTGAATCTGAATCATTGATTCATCTGGTATTTAAATATATGAGTCATTTACATATAAGTTTACTAGATCGAAAATTTCTTATTAAAAAAAAAATTATAGATCCAATGTCACATTCAGTAAAGATTTATGATACATAAAAATGCATTGTTAAAAAATTCACAGTTCTCTTGTTTTCTTATCTTATTTTTTTTTATTTACGTTTACTTTACTGATTTTTTACTGAAAAAAAGGAATATAAGAAAATTAAAATTAAAGTAAATAAAAAAATAAAGCTAAGAAATTTAGATAGGAACTGACATCTTGATTATATATCAAAGGAATTGAGATAGTATCACATGGCGCGAATTTAATATATAATACAATTTTAAATGTAATTGATAAATTTAGATTAAGAGATAAAGTAATGGCTATAACATTAGATAATGCTAGTGTCAATACAAAAGCAATTGAGTTCCTTAAAAATAATTTAAGTTTATTCGGTGACAGTACTATTTTCCACTAACGTTGTGCATGCCACGTAATAAATTTAGTAGTTAAATCTGGTTTAAAAGAAATGGGTACTTACATTAAAAGAATTAGAGATAGTCTTGCATGGATTCAAGGTAGTAACCAAAGACAAGAAGATTGGTTTAGGTTCTTACAAGCATTAAATATACCTCCTAGAGCATTAACGTTAGATATACCTGTAAGATGAAACTCAACTTATATAATGATTCAACAATGCATCTCCTATAAGGATGCTATAACAAACTATATGTGTGCAAAATTAGGAGTATGGCATTTAGACGCATATGATTGGTAACTTACCGAAGTTTTTCTTATCAATTTTTAGGTAGTTTTCATGAAGTTACTTTAAAGTTTAGTGAAACATATTATACAACATCACTTTTAGCTTTAGGTAAACTTTTAAGAATTAATATTTTATTTAGTAAATATAGGGCGGACCCAATCTTAGAAGTTCCTATTCATTCTATAGAAAAAAACTTTAAAAAATATTGGTCTAAGTTGTATTTGTTGTATGGATTAGGTACTATTTTTGATCATAGATTAAAATTAGACGGTTTAGAAAACTTAGATGAATTTTTAGGTATCAATTGTTCGAACCAATTTCTAACAATAAAGGAAAAAATATTTTCGATCTATAGTAAATATGAAAATAGGTTTAGAAGCACAAACTCTGGAGTATAGGAACTACAACAACAAGATGAAAATCCGCATTCATTTTTGAATGTTTTATGGTTGAAGAAGAAGAATAAGAAGACAATTCAAACAGAAGCTGTGATTGGATCTTCATCAACAGGTGGCAGCGGTGGCGGTAGCTTCAACGAGCTTATGGCGTATCTCAGTGAGAGCTTAGTAGCCGACGATACTAGAGAATCGTTTGACTTAGTTCAATAGTGGAGGGCACGAGCATTAACTTGGTCAATCCTAACTTGATTGCCAATGGATATATTTTCGATTCCAGTCTCCACTGTTTCATCTGAACAAACCTTAAGTATGACATGATGAATACTTGAGGAGCGCTGAAACACATAACAAAGGGACATTGTTGAAGCCTTGGTCTGCATTAAGGATTAGGATCGTGCCGATCAACGTCTACAAGATACAATTTCGTCAGAAAGTCAAGAATTGACTGATGAATTTAATAGATTAACATTTAATTTTGAAGACGATCCTTCAGCTTCAAATTAAATTGTAAATTTGTAATTTGTAAATATGTATTTATGTTTGATATTGTAATTGTATAACTTTGTAAGTTTATAAAATTTATAATTCGTCACAAAATGATTGCACTTTTTTTTCCTTACCAAGTTTTTATCCCAATTGAATTTTTCTTGGTAAGGTTTTTAACGAGACAATCATGAATTACGAATTTAAAAATTAATATACAAAATTAATTTATTAAATTGTGTTGAATGTTGATTTTAGTTTTTATATAATTTTAACACAAAATAACTTAATAATTATAAAAATTAAAAAATATTAAAAAATATAGGCATTTCAGATTGGTTCGGGCTGCCCGATCGAGCTTAGGTAGCCAAATACAAACTCACGGCCCATTCACGGCTTTCTTAGGCTCGAACGGGCGGCCCAAAAATTTCAAACAAATTAGATCAGAAATCAAGCAAAAATTTAGGCCCCGTTCATTTCGCCGATTTGAGTTTTGCTACAGTAAAAAGCTCTCAGAAACAGTCACATCTAACTTTTTTACTACACTAAAAAATTCTCACATAAAATCACATCTTAACTCAAATTATAAACTCAAATCAGTAAAGTGAACGAAATATTTTTGAGCAGTCAAAAGTAGTCTGTCTAAAATTCTAACACTACAAGTGAAAAAGATACGAAAGAAAATTTCCAAACACTTTTCCCATTATTACTTCTCTCTCCCTCAACTCCCATCACCCCCTCTCCTTTCTAATCATCACTTCCTTTCCTTTGGAAGCGCTCTCTCTCTCTCTCTCTCTCTCTCTATATATATATATATATATATATACACACACACACACACGCACACACACACACAGCCTCTGAAGATGTCTCTGTTTGCGACAGCTTCTCCAGGTATGCTATATTAATACTTATCATTCTGTTTGGCTACCCATAAATTCTGGGATTTTTTTTTTAATTATTTGATCAGAAAATATATGGTTTTGAATTAGAGGTTTAGACTATCTCCTTTCTTCACCCTCTTAGCACTTAGCAGGGAGTGATTGTTGTATCCTCGTCGGCTTGAAAAGTTTTCACCTTTTATTTGTTTCGGATTTTTCATTTCAGCAATCTTCTTCTTATTATCGGCTTTATCGCAATTTGTCTGGATTCTAAATTCGTTTTGTTCTTACTTTCCCATGCTTCACCCAGCATTTTTGTGCCAATTGTTTGAAATAAATTTATTTATTTATTTTTCAAGAGGCAATCTTGAAAACCCTAAAACGGATTGTTCAAATTAATTTTGATGGATTTTCTTTGTGTTTACAGAATAGAAACGAGATTGGCATGAGGGAGTAGTTAGCTGAACAAGTGTATTGGTACGTTTTAGACGCTTTCTGACTTTGTAGCTCACGCCCGCCAGTATATTCCTTTCCGTTTGGACTTGGAGATCTTCTTAGCTTTATGCTCTGCAGAATCTTCATTGCTTAAATTATCCCACAGCTTTAATTCGATAGCCCCACCCGAGATTCAACTCTGTTTCATGCGTTTTTTACTTCGCGGAATTGTGATTGTTGAGACTTGAAAGTGGTGAATTTGATCGATTTAGAAATGGATTCGGTTCGAAATATGGTTTACTATTGCTGTGTAGCAAAGGGAAACAGGATTCTCTACGCTTATAGCGGCGGAGGAGGAGAAGATCATGAGGTGGATAGTTTAGTTTCATTGTGCTTGGAGAGCACTCCTCCTTTTCATAAGTGGTATTTTGAGACAATGGGGAAGAGGACCTTTGGGTTTCTCATTGAAGATGGCTATGTTTATTTCATTATTGTGGATGACAATGTCAGAAATACAGGGGTTCTTCAGTTTCTGGAGGATTTTAGAGACGAATACAAGAAGGTTGCTAGAAAGGGGTCAAGGGGAAGTTTGTCCAATATGAACTCTATCTCTGTGCAAGAGCATTTAATTCCTGTTATCCGCCGCTTGATCGCCTCTTTACAGAATGTTTCTCAGGCGGGTAGTAGTGCTTGGACAGGTGCGACCCCGTCACTTCACGCCAGTCTGTCTCCATCACCGAGTAGTATTGCAAATGGGCAAATTGAAGTCTCCAGTTCTACGAAAGCTCCTTTATTGGGCAAGTCTTCCAAGCAAGAGAAGAAGAAGGCAAAGGATCATGTTATTGGAATGAGAGACATCGAATTGGAGGAGCACAGAAAATCGACCGATAGAGGAGTTAATATTGATTCGATTTCAGCAACTTTAGATTCTTCTAACCAAGCTGGAGCAGGTTCTTCAATCTCCCTGCAAAAGGATTTGGGGTCGATGAGGATCAGATCCACTTCTCAAACCATTCGGAAGAAGTGGCGGCGTCAAGTACGTATTGTGCTTGCTATTGATGCTGCCGTCTGTCTAGTACTATTTACGATTTGGTTATTCATCTGTCGCGGTATCAAGTGCATCCGTTGAGGGACTTTACAGTCTTCCTATGGTTGAATGATTCAAAAACTAATCAAGATTCCAAAATTGCCCGGAAATTCCTGTAATCATGGCGGTGAACGGCTGATAATTGTTGTATTGGTTAAAAGGGGTTGGTTGTTTTGCAAATACAGTGAATAGAAGAAGCAACAGTGAAGTTTGTGAATGATTGGGAATTTGTATCTGCTTGGTGGGGATGCGCTTGGAGATATAATATGCATTCGGCAACATCAGATTTAGAGACTTGACTGTACAGTTTTCATAGGTTTTCTGTACGTGGAATTTTATGAGATTATCAGAATCATTATTGTGAGTGTTTGTTTCCACGCCCTTCTGCAGTTACCGAGACTTTTTGTTTGTTTGTTTGTTCCTTCCACAAGTCATTCAAATGGTCACTTTGCATTTTGTAACATGCTGCTCCTACTGTACTGCTATACAGCTAATCACATGGGCCTTTTCCTTTGCCCGCATCTCATTTTTATCTTCATCTTTAATTTGACAACGGTGGTACGGACTTAAAGCACTCAATTAAGAATGTCCAACTTTCATCCATTATAATCCACTTAGAAGTAGACCTCTTTTATTATTATTATTATTACTACTATTATTACTACAAAGTTTGTTTTTTGGTCGAGGACTTGATTTAAGTTTTCAGATAAAAGACAGCCAAACTTTCAAGTAATCCAATGTTCTTTTTTACTGGGAAGTTGGTCAATTTCAAAGTTTTCTGAGCTCAATACATCGTTTAAACAAACTGCTTAATTAGCGATTCATCTTGTAGAATAAATCAATAACATAAGAAATTTGTCTCAAAACTGACATCTATAAATAAATGAAAATGATACATAATAATCGAGAATCAATATAATACAATCCAAAAATGAAGGGGAAATAAGAAATCCGGGATCTATTACCATCTAGTTTCTATATATGCTAAACTAAAAAAGTTTGCCCCATTCTCCATAAATTGTCTTCCCCTTGTTGTAAATGAAGTTCAGACAGAAGCGTCACAGCCTAGGTATGGGCTGCCTCTGATGTCAATTTGCAGTCATAGTTCGAAGAGCTCAGTTCTCGCTGAGGCTATATGTCCTTTTTCAGCTTTCTCAATTCCGAATCATTGGGACCAAAAACAAAAAGAATTTCCTAAAGAATATAACCAGAGACATCTCATACAAAATTTTTCTGGGTCTCGTTTACTAGGAGAGCTGTAAGCAGTTGCAGTCAGCAAGTTACGGCTGTATCGAGAACTTGCTCAGGCACCATAACCCTGAACACAGCATAGTGATGATTCAAGCTTCTTTCCCCTTGTAGTCTATAAACACTTCCTAGTGCCCCAGCATTCGAGTTTGGAAAAGCAAAGAACATACGCCGGATTCTCTGATGAACGAGGGCCATTGCACACCTAACAAAAACGCAAACGCCAAAGCATAAGAAAACTGAATGTCGTAGAAGACTAAATGTAGAAGCGATCAACAATACCAAACCAGACTTTTGACTCTCAAAATTTCATCAACTTTCATCAAGTATGCCTACTTTTTCATTATGATATGGATTTTATGCAATTTGAGGGTTATTTTTCTTGTACCCTACCAAAAAATCCTCCAAAGAGCAAATAAAATAAGGCCCATAAAAGAAAGCCACAACGAAAGCCTCTATTATTCAGAAGCAAGCACAACAAAAAAAAAAACAAAAGGCTTACATGGTACATGGCTCCCAAACAAGGTAGATGTCATAACCAGTACATAGATAAGGCCTAGCTGATAGAGATTGTGAATCTTCCCCGCAAGAGTCCAGGATGTCATCACCCTTAACCTGTATGGCACAACAAAAATCCAACATGTTAATTCAATTCCTAATTTCCTATAAGTAACCAAAACACAGTTCAAACAATTTGTTCAAAGAAAACATCATTGCTCATGCAGTTATCGAGTGTTAGTTAGATGCTTCACATGCTTCAAACTATGGCTCAAGCCACAGACACCGAGGACAAAACCAAAACAGTACGAGAAAGGATGACACATGTTGCAGTACGTTTACAAGGGCTTTACATGAAACTGGGAATCATATTGCAACCAGAAAGCCTCAGTAGAAGTTGAAACAATCTTCCAATGTGAATGGAAGCAAAATGTGAGATTCAAAGGCAATCTGAACGCTCATCCTCTACTCCTTCATACTCATGCAAAAAGAATTCAAAAGAGAAACTACTGAAAGTGGTGGAGCGAAAAGACCATCTCTGTGTAGGTTTTATTATAAACTCTCCAAAGAAAGAGGTCTCATTTGAAGCAGAAAGAATTAAGTATACCTTTTCAAAATCTGTCTTTTGTCTTTTTGCTAGAGAGCCCATGGAAGTAGATTGCACATTATCCGTATCAACTGGTTTGTCTTGGATGTCACACAAATTGGGAAAAAGGTGCCGGTCCCTGGCAGCAGAAGACTCGATGGCAACAATAGCAGCGTGTCGTAAAGGGTGCCAACGACAAGAACCCATATGTGCTTGCTGCTCAGCCCATCCCCACGGAAATAAACAAGAAACATGGGCATATAGCTGCTTTTCCTCAACTGGAAAACCGTTGGAATGCAGAGTTTTACAGCTCACCGTTCCCTCGCAATCAGTATTTGAATTGAAGGCTTTTGGCTGTTTGAAGCAGCAGGTTTTGAGGACATTCTTGTCTTCTGGAGTATCCCAAGAGCAAGTTTGATCGCATGCACTAGAAATTACCCGTTTAACTGAAGGATCCACTATAAGTGCAGCATTGACAACCTAGAGATGAAGCAAAGAAAACCTTATGACAAAAGCACAAACACTAGCACACGTGGTGTACCATAAATACGACGAGCCGTGTACCCTTAAATGATATAAGAGTTTCAGAGAATTAAATGCAGCCCCCCATAGAGAAAAACGCAGTTTTGAAGTTATTATCAATAGTACAAGATATTGACAGACAATAAGTTAGCTCAGGGAGAGAAAATAACTCAATAAGTTAAACAGTTACCGAGCGACCACTAGATTTTGCCAGCTGAATAGCAGCGTTCATGAAACTGAAAATTGATTGAGAGTCCTCTTCACTGAATCCCGTGATACCGTCAATATTACTGTTGGAGGGTGAATCAGAAAACACGGAGAAGCAAAAATTATAAACCAAATGACACATCGTTGGTAAATTAATGAGTAAAAAAGCAGTAGTATACACAAAAGAAGACAAAAACATAGAAACAAACAAGAAATTTCTACATGATAGCATATCTTACTAAGTTGGAGGATGATATGATGTTGGCCATAGTTTACATTGCTCTTCCCACTCTTCTTTTGATGTGGCAGCATATTTGCATACCTAAACAAAACTTAAAACGAACAAGTACATGTTACATGGTGAAATGTTAACTCTTTAGTAGGATAAGACAGAATACGAGTTTTAGGCTTTCATGATTTAGATTCTACAAGATAAAACTTTTATATGGTTGTCTTAAAAAGAAAAATTGAATGGCACGATCTACTTTATTTTTCTGGAAAAACATTTTTATAGTTGTAACATAAAATCTAAGATAATCAATCAAAAAAAGAAAAAAAAAAAAAAAGAAAGCAAGAGACTTGTCATATGTATCGTATAAGATAGTTGAAATTGGTTACTGAGTTGGTATAGTGCGCGTCAAGATAAGATAGAATGAAAAAAAGGAAGACCCACTTTCGTTCGAAAAGGGCTCAACTGGTAGGAAGTGATTAGGTCCTGTACATCGTTTGGGATGTTGCACAACTCATTGTTATTTTCAGCTACGCATAAGATCACTGATAGCTCTGTTTTGCCTGTAAAGTCAGGTCAGGCAGAAATAACCCAATATGATCAAATTGAAATCAGTACACAGAATAAATATATATAAATACATACTATATGAGATTCTATCAATATCCAAAACTGAAATACAAATTTTTATCTCTTTATCTATCTTAAAATAAGAGCAAATGGGGAAGAAAGGAAAAAAAAAAAAAAAAAAAAAAAAAAAGGCACCATCTTGAGCTTGTAGAAGTTTCTTGCGGATTCGCTTGACATGGCGAAGAGTTTCAAGGGGTGCAATTTGGTTTAAACGCCTAAACCAAAAATGAAAAGGATGAAATTCATAGAAAGAGAAACAAAAGAGAGAAAGAGAAGCAAAGAAAGGAAGGGGATGATGAGAATTGAACCTTACAAGAGTATTGGCAAGCTTAGGCTCAAGCTGTGCAGCGAATACATCAACTGTTTACACATATAAATATACATAAAAATGTGATGATGATGAAGAACAAGAAAGCATGAAATATGATATAACAATTAACTAGTGTATGTAAAGAAATAAAGGAAGTAAGAGTAGACCGGTGGGTTGTTGGTGGGGAGGGAACGGGAGCTTCTCTGGGATGTGGACGATCTCCATCCTCACCACCTGCACTCTCTGCACTCTGCACTTTGGTCCGTCCGTTTTTAAAAAGAAAACACCAAAAATAACCGACCAGGGGCAGGGAGGCCGGAGATTGAGATTTGAGAGCAGCCAGAAGAAGGGCTCCTGAGTGAGTGTGAGAGCTTAATTAAATACTCAATCGATTGAGATTTCACGAATCCATCCCTTATTTCAATTTATCACTTTTTTTCTTCTTCTTATTTTCAATTTCATGCAAAAACGATACATTTTTTTTTCGGGGTTAAATTTTTATTGACTGTGTTAAAAAACCCTAAATATTCTTCATAGTTTTTTAATATTGAACTTTTTCGTGTTTTTTCTTCTTATTCTTAATTTTTTCCCCTTTAAAGGTGTTTAGGATTTTTCCATAGTCAAAATTGACCATTAATTGAGAATAAGGTAACATTTGAGGTACAAACGTTTATTAAATTCTAAATACATGAATGCTTATTTCTCAATATCATCACCACATTAACAAATAGATTCCTTTGTACGAGGTTTAACAGTATATGGGTATGTATGTAACACCCTTAGGTGGTGTTATGCAATAAGATTAGAAATATGAGGGACAAACAAAAATAAAAATAAAATATAATTCTCAAAATATAAACGACAAGTGCCCATGAGACTTTTAACGAAAAACTCATAATTAAAAATCACAAATCGACAAAACAAAATAAAACCAGAAATTCACAGTATAGCACCATATAAAATACTTAAATGATACAATCATCATCAGACACATCTCTGTCGAAAACAACACAGTTAGAATCTTACATAACTGAAGAAGAAGGTTGAAAGAAGGGATAGGTCTCCAACACGTTGCGCACTGTGAGACGTCTACTCCTCGTCTGAAAGATTACACTGTGCACCGCCTGGGGAATGGGAAGAGAAAAGGGGTGAGCATGAAATGCTCAGTAGGAGAACTATTACTCACTTTTAGTTTTATTTGTTTTTCCGGATTAAACCTACATGGTTAGTAGCTTTTATGTTTTATGTATAGTGAGTTAGATAACCCAATATGTACGCTCGTGACAAAAAACTCTCGAAGGGCGCGGTGATTCGGAGGCACTGATAGCAAGGAGCTCTATCTCGGTGTCCCTACCAGATCAGTTCTCGAACCATGGGCAAGGGCGAACTGTCGTTCCGGGCCCTCACCAAGACGCAACCACTGTATAGTAACCTTAGGGATTCTCAACCCCGGAGAGCGTCATCACCTCTCTACTCTTTTACCTTTTCGGGTTCACACCCAGGGGTGGTGAACGGCCACACCTACTGTTAGCACACTATCTCACTATCGTGTTCGGTTTACATTCTCCTAACCATGCTTTTGTGTCAGGTTCCAAAATTATGTCAAATCTCTTGGCCACGCTGTACACTACAGGACGGGCCCCCTAATGGCTTTGTTCAAGTCATATCGTATAACAATAATAAAGAAGTTTAATATACAATTTCATTCTTATCAAATTTAACAAAATTAATTAAATTAAATTAAATTCCACAAAAGTTAAGTAATAGGACCCCTACCTCAAAATGGATCCCGGAGGGACTGTGGGCGGCTAGGAATAACTCTCGAATTTTTTAAACCACGAACGAGTCTTTGTCCCACCGGTCGGCTTTGCCTCGATCCGCGTGCAAATCAGTACCGTATGACTTCTAAAACGAAGTGGAATTGGTTTAAACGGACACTGCCATTGCGTTCAGCACGTCGAAACAAGTCGGGATATGGTCTCAGATCGCCAATCCGAAGTCAGGAAGCTGAGAAACGAAGCTTCGCCAGAATCCGGCCACCGGTGGCGGCGGAGCTTCCCGAAGAAGAATCCCGCGGCGGGATCGGGTCCCCCCCCCCCCAAAAAAAATTGATGGTTCTGAATCCAATGGTGATGTCAATTTTACCAAATTCGGCCTCTAACCACTCGGATCGGGATCTTCAATTCCGGCCGAATTTCGAGCTTTAAATCTTTATTTTTCAACCACGGATCTTCAAAATTGATTGAGGGCTTTCATTACCCGTGAGATTATGAACATTTTGACACCAAGATCACGAGGATCCAACGGCGGCGGCGGCTCATTTTCTGGCAATGTGGCGGCGATGACTACGGTTGGTGGTCCAGAACGACTCGCCGGCTCCCTCTGAAGCTAATGGGCTGGGCGGTGTCATTCACGGCGGCCGGAGGAGGGAGATCCGAGAGCAACGGCAACGAGAAATTTGACCACCACAGGTGGCGGCGTTCCGGTCAGAATCAAGCCGTGCTACTGGTATAGTTTTCTTTGTCTCTTCGCTCTGAGTCTATTGGGACCGGAATCACCTCGATCGGACACCGGACGGCGAAGATATCATGATTGGAGGTTTGGGTGTTTTTCGGAACTTTGGCCGGCGAGTGTGGCGTCGTCTGGCGGAGTTGGCGGCTGGAAGACACCAATCCGGACTCAGCTCGACGAGATCTTTCCAACGAGCTGGGAGGTGTGGAAAACGGACGCCGAAATCTTGCCAGAGGTGGGTCGGCTGTGCGTGGAGAAAGAGAGAGAAAATGAAGAGAGAGGAAAAATGACAGTTTCTGATTGGTGAGGATGATGGATACGCCCAAGTGGCACTAAATCTGACCACCACAGGTGGCGGCGCTCCGGTCAGAATCAAGCCGTGCTGCTGGTACAGTTTTCTTTGTCTCTTCGCTCTGAGTCTATTGGGACCGGAATCACCTCGATCGGACACCGGACGACGAAGATATCACGATCGAAAGTTTGAGTGTTTTTCAGAACTTTAGCCGGCGAGTGTGGCGTCGTCCGGCGGAGTTGGCGGCTAGAAGACACCAATCCAGACTCAGCTCGATAAGATTTTTCCAACGAGCTGGGAGGTGTGGAAAACGAACGCTGGAATCTTGCCAGAGGTGGGTCGGCTGTGCGTGGAGAAAGAGAGAGAAAATGAAGAGAGAGGGAAAATGACGGTTTCTGATTGGTGAGAATGATGGATACGCCCAAGTGGCACTAAATAACAAGTTAGGCATGCTGACTGTCAAAATTTTTATTTTTGACCCTCGCATTTCTCTTAAATTTGAATTCTGACCTAGATTTCTAAAATTTTTACTCTTAAGTCTTTAAAAAATTACAAATTGACCCCAAATAAATTGAGTTTTACAATATATCCCCCATATCTGGAGTAATTAGATAAGTAATGATGGTGTAATGATGGTGTGTAATAATAATAATAATAATAATAATAATAATAATAAATCTTGGTACAAATTAGCCTCGTTCTCTATTGAACAGGGGAAAAAAAAGATAAAAAGTCGCCGTGACTAGCACACTACAGCATCATGAGTCATGAATGATATTGATTTCTTAAAAGTCGACAAATTTAGGTTGGTTGACTTTAAAATAGAAAACGGAGTTTCAGAAACTTGATGAGATTGAGATTGTTCAACTTTGACAGTCAATAAGCATCATTTAATCGGGCATAGCATAAATGTCCTATTAAATCAGTTTCCTAATGCGTTGCCCACAAAACAACAAAATCTTTTGTCCCCAAAAAACAAACACAAAACAATTTGAGCCTTGAGGAGTACATGAGTAGAAGAGCAACGAGAATCATCTATCCCACTCTGTATCTAAATCTCGGCGATCAACCTTGGAACTCGATGCATGCGCTTCCGGCAAATCTCTTGGCAGTTTATTCGTTAACCGATCCCATCCCAATATGTGGGGCAGAGCATACTGCACCATCAAAAATCAAACATAACTAAACTAAGCCTTCAACATTTCCAGTGCTGAAATTCGTCGAAAAATGCTATTCACTGCTGCGCGTCGTTTTTATTCTACTACTACTGCTACTACATGTGTGGTGATCATCACAAGTGTTCTAACTCTGGGAAAAAAAAAGAAACAATACGTTATAATTTGGCATTCTTACACTGCAAACTGTCTTCACCACCGCAAATTCTGCTGTTGTGAAAGGAACAGCAAAGTTGTCTCTTGTTTTCAGAATGTTGTTCACAACCGCTGCCACCCAAAAAACAATATATATTTCATAATATGCTCAATCAAAAACTTCTTTTTTCAAAAAAAGAAAATCCGAGTACAAACACAACGAGAGAGCACTTTTCTTACTCAAAGAAATCATGTAACCACCACCGGTTGCATGAGGCTTAATTGACAAGCTCTTCCTCACTTGACCAGCATTACTGCACTATTACAACTTCCTTCATCAATACCACAGACAAGTTACTTTTTTGTTCCAAAACTATCAACATTCAGTTCAAATTAACATGCTTGTATGTTTGAATTTTGAATATTAAGGGCCCGTTTTAGTTCGCTGATTCGAATTTTTAATTTGAGTTGAGATGTGACTTTATGTGAGAGCCTTTTACTGTAACAAAAAAGTTATATGTGACTGATCTGAGAGTTTTTTACTGTAGCAAAACTCGAATTCTAAATTCGAATTGGTGAAATGAACAGGAAATGCTATCTCAATTCGCTTACCTCGTAAATGTGAACTCTAATTCCTATCCTAGACAAAGCAAATTTAATTTACCATCCGAGCTTTAAATCTAGTGGAAGAATATTTTCATCTGAAAGAGAATGGTGGAATTTAACCTCGACAACATTGAAGGATCGTGGAAGAATTCACAAGAATCGTTGGAACCCATGCTTATCAAGGATCCAACCTCCGTGGCGTTCAAAGCAAAAAGCTACAAAATGAATGCCCAAATAGTACATCAATAAAAAGCTGCCACACAGGAGCTCAGAGAGAGAAAGACAGAGCTCAGAGCTCTAGCTGAAAAAATTCCCCAAGTACGATTTTTAATTATATGCATTCTTCGAGCAAATTAAACAGCAATAAATATAATCTACACACTGTCAACTCATTTGGATGAGCATAAAAACATAAGAAGAATTAAGAAAGAACTAAAGAGGTTACCTGCTTTTTTTCCCAGTCATACTTGCGCTCGCCGATGGCAGGAATGAACTTCAACATCATGACACCATGGCGATCAACTACACGCAACCCGGACTACGTAGGGAAAAAACACAATGATAATAATCAAGTTCATAGAGAGAGGGGAGGGAATGACAAGAGTGTAAAAAACACACATCCAATTTAGTGAACGTTGGGAGAACTGGAGTCACAGACAGTGCAGCTTTGCCCTTGTAAACAGTATAAGGAGCTGCAATACTTCCTGCAAGCTCATACACAAAAACGACAGATAATAGAACGCACTTTATCATCAATCTGGGCAAGAAATGGAATAGCTAAAACGTGAAAACTATAGTGAAATACAGACTCACCTTTAACGCCAAGGGTCTGTCCAGGTCCAGCAGTTGAAATTCCAGCACGAGAAGTAAAAGAATGTAATGGCAACCCATCACTTAGATTGACATCTTTCCCATATAACAGGTTTTTAGATGACTGGTTCCTTCATTCACCCATTCCAAAAGACAAAAAAAAAAAAAAAAAAAAAAAAAAGGGAAACCATCCATTAGGAAATAAAGTGTAGTAAAACCAACATTGACGCGGTTTCTGAAATGAAAACGAACGAAGACGGAAGCTTTATGGCAGTTTTATGTGAATATTCCTGATTCCTTTCAGTTCCAGATTAAGAATGGTGGACTTATTATGAAGTGAAGGACGCCTAGTAGTAGTTTCAGTATAAAACAGAAAATTCCAACTAATCACATGCACCAGAAAATCAATTTGATGACCCTATTCAAGAATAGATCTATTCCAATCACGTCATGTGGAGAACTTTTTTCTTTTAATATCTTTTTGCTCCGTCGTCTCATAGAAATGTTGACAGAAAAGTTGAGCCAATTGTATGAGCGTGAACATAAGCATGAAAAAAATACATACACACACACACAGACACGGAAAGCAAGCATCAAAATGGTTGAATAAATATCCAGAGAGTGAATAAAGTTTGAAAACCGTGAACAGAGAATGAGACTAGCAAATGAAGATTGAGAAAATGATACTGTATAATGTCCCTATACAGCACCAATATTTACACATTATTGGTACTTTTGTGCTGATATATAACTCCATTAGATTTTACCCTTAAAGAAATACAATGTCTTCTTTTTTATTTTGTCATGGTTTCCCGTGACTTCCTCTATCAAACTCAATAAATAGACACATTTCTTTGTTTGGGGTAGTACTGTAGGTTAATTTAATCGGTGAGGAGGCAGAACTAAAACAGATAAAACTCAAAAAGGTTCAAACTTGATCAATGATACGGGACAAAAGTTGAAGAAGCATGGAGTAGAGTAAAATTAACTTAAACCCACCCAGAATTTGAATAGACCTCCATCACAACACACATGGGTAAAGCAGAACAAGAGTCTACAGCTTAAAAATTTTAATAAAAAAAAATCGAAAGTAAGAATATTAAGTAGTTTACAAAAGTCGTTCATCTTGTGGTCTTTCTCGAAAACCCTGGAAAAGCCCAAAAGGTGACATTTTTGTTTTTGTGGGGAGTGGAGTAGAGGGAAAGGAAAGGAAACGAAAGAAGGCGATGGAAGGAACAAAAATTGAATGAAAAGATGGAGTAAAATATTAAGAAGAGAGAGTAGTGTGGAAACACATACCTTGAGGAGTTTAACAGCAGACGAGAGAGTTTCATCATCTTACTTTTGCCACTCCCAAATCCACACAGAGAGGATAGACGGGGGGTTTAGGAGAGAGAGAGAGAGAGAGAGAGGAGAGAGAGAGACCGTGACCGTGGAGAATAGTTTTTGTTTCGGGCGCTCTATATAAAAGTGTTAAAACTCCTTTTATCAGTATGTCTAAAGAAGATATGCTAAGGGGCTGCTTGTTACACCATATGTATTTGCACCCTCAACCTATTGATGCCACGTGTCAACAAAATTTACCACTTCCACACATAAGAAAGAAAGTATTATTTGCACTGTTGCTCCTAAACTCATCATTCTTTTGGAATATATCCCCTGAACCTTTTATTTTCGCAATTAGCCTCTTGATTTTAAAAATATGTGGCAATGACACCCACAGCCAATTCTAACAGTGTTAATTTTCTGTAGGAAGTTGACTATGACTTGCACATAAATCTTTATTTAAGAGCATGAACGGTCGTACTCGTACTTATTTATAATTACATTAGGGACCAGTAGGCCCAGTTTTATATTTATTAAATTTATATAAACTCACGTAAAAATTAAAAAGTACGCATATTTAATGATTAGAAAAATTTGCTGATTCAATGGCTAGAGAATCTCTCATTATATTAACTTAAATTTTATTTTAAAAAAAATTAACTTAATTTTTTAATATAAAAACTCATTAAAAATTCTAACACCTATAAATTTGGGTTAGAATAATATTAGAGATAAATGACCGCTCATCCTATCAAGTAATGACTATATATGTTCATCTTGTAACGACTTTGTGAGGTCTTTTTGAGCCTGTTTCCTTTAATTGCTTCAATTACACTAATTATTTAAAAGAAAATTAATCCATATTACCGAACCAATTTTCACAAACCTCGATCATTAAATTCATAGTCAATTTCACAAACTTACGTACGTGCACATATATTGAAAAAAGTACTGGGTGAAGTATTCTTTCATGTTCC